ACAGAGATGTAAAATATTCGCTTGCTCCGGTAACCCTTTTTTAACTAGCCGTTCAGTGGTAGATGCTCAATAAAGAAATTAATCTCAGTAGCTCTGAATTTTCTTTTTTCTAAGTGTGAGTAAAGAAAACGATGAAGATTAAATAGATTGCAAACACACAAAATTAACGCTGTATGAGTAGAAGAAGCAACCATTGCTCACATGAAATAATGCTGCCTGTATGCCCACCGTCTTCCTATAGAATTGACTGCTGTGATAGCCTTAAACGCCCGTTTTATGACAGAGGATCCAGAAGATGTGTCCTGTTAGAAAATGACGGGATTATAAATTGTCTCATAACTTAATATATTTTAAACATCACCCCATTTATCTTGTGAACTGGTGAACATCTGATGGTGGGGTATTCCATCTATCTCATGACAAATAAACAGCAACACGCTTACTAAGAGCAGTTTAGAGACCAGTTAGCTTAGCATGCAGGTCTCTGTTATCTTTTTGCTGCCAGACAATATTGACTTTTTCTCACAGTTTCCTACAAACGCCCCAATTTCCCCTGAAAGCTTCAGGGTTTAAAGCATGAGGATCTGCTGTGTCTATAAAACTGTAAAAAGGGATCATTGCAATGTGTGAGATTCCTGCTTCCTCTGATCTGAAAAACTGCAGACCATTTATGTAACTCAGCCTAATGACGTACGGTGGAGTTATAAAGATAGCTGCCCTACAATCTCAGCCCAGCAGGTGGCGGTAATAAGAAATCCCAATGTTTGTATGTAAGAAAACATAAAGGAAAACGGCAGCTGGCTCATCCTTTTACGTCCTTCCAAAGTCTGTTTGATTTCAGTTAGTTTTTGTCTAAACTGAGCAGACAGAAGATAACACCGTATAAATTATATTTTGGTTTTTGCAGTTACTCATTTCTCACTTTTAGCTGCTGCAAACAGCTAGCAGGTTGTGTTTATGATCAATAGGCTAATGCTACGTTCAGACCGCAAGCAGCAGAGGCAGCTAGTTTACATGCTAAGTCAATGGTTGATGCGCATCAAGGCGCAGCAGAGGTTCCTGCAGCAGCACGCTTTGAGCAGAAGGAGCAGCGCCTCATGAGCTTCTGAGCAACTGAGGCGTGTGGCGTGCTTCAGAACGAGCAGCTGCTGGAGTTGGAAACTTTAGCTGCTGGACGCGCCTCATCAACCAATGAGAGAAGCTGATCTGGGAGCTGGCAGGGAGTCAGACGCAGCACTGCTGATGCAGAGCGCTATGATCACTCCTCGGAAACAGTTTATTAACGCCTAAATTAACTTAAAACGTAGAAACCTGCTGGCAGAATATGTTGGCTTTTATTATCCTGCTGCCTGTAGGGTTGGGAATTGAAAAGATTTTCACGATTCCGATTCCCTTTTCGATTCTATGAAATGATTCAATTCTTTATCGATTCTTTTTTCGATTCCAATTTGGGGGAAAAAGGAGAACAAACAGTTTGATTATCAGAATCAACTTTGTTTACTTAACTATTGCACAATCTTACAAACTCAACAAGATCAAGATGTCCACAGGAAATGTGAAACTGGAGTAACATCTGTGTTTAAATGAAAAATAAATATACAAGAACAAACTTAATAACCAACAATGTCTAATAACAAATGATGGGATAATAACCTATTTTAAATAACAAAAAATACTAATTATAAAACAGTAGTAGGAAAAATTAACTGTTCTTTTGCAGAAAGATGAGCATATCTGCTTTTTCTGGAAGGATACGGGATCTTTCAGGGCTTATGGTGTCTCCAGCCGTGGAGAACACCCTCTCAGATGGGGTGGAGGAAGCCTGCACACAGAGGTAGTTTTCAGCCAGTCAGATAGCAAGGGCAGCGTATCTTGCTTGTTCCACCACCACAGTGTGGCGCTATCCCTGCAGGGGATGGAGGGCAAGCTTTTATAGAGCTGGATTTCCTGATCTACCCTCTGGGCTAAGGAAAGACGGGGCTTTGATTCACAAAGTGACCGCAGCTCGTTGTCTTCCTCCTCGAATAGTTCTTCCAACTTGCGTAACTTGCGTAACTTGCGTAACTTACGCAACTTACGTAAAAAACGTGACGTAAGTCGTGCTCCCCAGAGCCGGCGCTCTAGGCTCTGGTGCTGCGGGAATCGAAAAAAGAATCGTTCAGTGAGCTGCCAAACGATGCCATGGAATCGGAAAATACGGAACCGGTTCTTAACAGGAACCGGTTTTCGATTCCCATCCCTAGCTGCCTGCAGTTTGGATTACCTACATGAAAAATGCTTTCCAGCCGCCGTGAACAGTAAAAAAACGTGAAGAGGCGAGCGGGCCTGAGGCAGCTGCTGCTGGGGATTCCCAGTGACAGCGCAGCGTCGGTATGTGGGGGTCTGAGCGGCTCCCACAGAGAAATAATCTTTGAAGGCAGGATGGTAATCTGGATGAACTGACTGCACAGACCATGTTTTCAGGAGGACCTTCTCACTTCAACATAGATTCTAACTACTTTCTACCCGCTGATCACAGCTAATATAGCTGCCATTGTTCCAGGCAGAGAAAGGATAGATTAGCTCCGCTCACCGTGCATCAGACCCACTTTACCACCGAGCAGCTAGAGCAGCAAAGATGCTTAAGCCGCGCGTCAGAACTGAACTGGTATAAGCATCTAAAATGAAGCAGCACGCGTGTTTTTGCTGCTTCTGCTGCTTATGGTCTGAACCTAGCATTATATTCATTATATCTATCAATGAAAGTGAATGTCTTCCGTTTCTACCTGCTCATCCAGGAGGAGAGAAGGCTGCAGACTCAAAACTGGATGCAAAAGTAAACTTTTAAGAATCTGACTGAATGATCTGATTGGGTAGTCTGTGCATGATGACAAGTGTGAAAGGGAGCTATAGAGATAAACTGAATAGATTTTAATAGAGGGGGAAACACCTCATCCTGCAGAGCCTGAAGCCAACAGGCTCTGTCAGTGTCGAGCTCTGCTGCTCTGAAAACTGAGAAAATTCATTTCAAATTGTGGAAAAAAGGTCATCCATAGTTGTTACCTAGAGACTCCAAATATCAAAGTAATTAATGCTAATCATGCTAATCCAACTCATGGATTAGCATGATCTGTAGTTTTTTCCCCCACCTTCAATCCATTGAGGGCGACCTTTTATAGGCTCCACAACGCACTGTGTGGATGCACGCGCACGACTGGACGCTCTGAAGAACCTTCTGGAAGTTCTTGTCCTGTGACCCGATTGCATGCGCGTGGGCCTTAAAGACCCTGTTTTGCAAAGACTTGTGACTTCTAGTTCGTAAACATGTTGTTATTGCCAAGATTGGTGCATGACTTCCAACCAGCTTGCTCTGTGTTGCTAAGTGGGCATAAGGTCAGAAACAGGACTACATAATGCAGTACAACTGCTTCCTTGTTTGGCAAGCCAGCCAGCATTAGAGACTTTATTATTGCTAAGACTCCTACTTGAACTTCAAGATGTACTGTTTTGTTGCTAAGTAAGTATAGGGCCACGTTGTAGGATATATTCTGATTCTGATTTCTGATATAAGACAATAAAACTGCTACTACAATGCTACGTCAAGAAAACATACAACTTTTAGGGTGGAAGAGTATTTTCCTTTGTCGTACTCTTTAGAGTGGTCTTGGTTTCTTGTATCTGTTGTCAGACAGACTGAACTGGCTGTGGCCGCCATCTTTAAGCCGGGTTGTCCAACCCTCTCCAAACAGCCTCGTGTCTTAGTGACAGACAAGCCTCAGGCTTTCAGCGCCTGTTCACTCACTTAGTTCGGCTCAGAAACTTTGGTTTGTTTGGTTGGATCATGATGACGTTCTTGGAGCATGACTCTGCACTTCTGGGATTCCACAGTAGTGGCCAAATGTTACTGCGGGCTTCTTCGGAGTAACTCCTCTTTCTTCTTCAGTTGTCTCATTTCTCACTGGCTACATGCTTGGCAGTTCTTGCATGGAAATGTGCACCCAAACCATTTTGTTATTGTTTATTTGGAGTTTCTTATAATTTTTTTGGTCAGAGAGAATCTGTATTCTGTAGATCTGTGATGAAACCGTCCTCCCCCCGCCTCTGTTTTTGATTTCTCCAATCCTCTGACCTCCTTGCTTGTCTCTCCTATGTTTGTGCAGTCGTCTGCTGCGATGCTGTTCACTGTAATTCTTCACTACCCCCCCGGCACTCACCCTCCCTCCCCCCTGCCTCCCCTCCACCCCCCTCCATCCCCTCTAAGTCCGGTCCTGTGGGGTTCCGCAGTAGTAGAGAAGTGGAGTCCTCCTGTGAACAGGGTTTCAGTTCTGAGCCCAGCTGTAGATCACATCTAGCTTTAAAATAGACGAAGGGAGGCCAGATGTTGCTCACTCCACCATTTTGTTTTTTGTATTTATTTATTTTTTTTGGGGGGAGGGGTATTGAACGACCAAACACATAACTTCATATTTATGACAGGTCATCAGCTCCAACCTGAAGAATTAAGGTGAAGAGCATAAATTTGATGTGAAATTTTCCTGATTTTTCTTTTGCCTTCCTCTCTGTGTGCCTTTTATTCGAGCCATTTCTTTTGATCTTGAGATGATTTCCTTTGGTGTCTTTTGTCTTTTTTTCCCGGCTTATTGCATCCTGCATGGTCTGACTGTGAGCTTCGTCCCCGCCCTTTCTCCTTACTTCTCCCTCTTCTCGTTCTCCTGAAGCTCTGCTGTCTCCCCCTCCTCACCCTCCCTCTCTGAGTGAACTGGCATGAGATCCCTGCATCCCACTCTTCCTGTCTCCACCACAGCATCGTTCCCATCCTTCCATTTTTGGTTTCCTATCTACACCCCTTCATCTCTTGCTGTCATACGTATCCTAAATACATTGAAAGATGTATTTGTGGTTGAGCTGAGGGACCTAGGTCATAATATGTAAGGACGTTAGGATGAGGTGAGAAAAAACGAGGAAACATTTGATCTCTGAGATGCCTCTCTGTCTTCTCCCTTTCAAACTCTCCGGTGCAGACCATGGGGAGATGTTGGAGATGCAAGGTTTTGGAGGCAGCCCATCGTCGTGGCAACAGACCGATGTAACCAGTCACGAGCTGCTGTGCCAGTCCTGCTCCACAGCTGGAAGCAACACATCGTTCGACTACACAGCCGGCTGCTCCTGCCTGCACCAGCCGTCAGATATTCACACGTACGCATCAGAAGCAGAACCTCAGGGCTTTCCCAGGAGGAACCATGCTGCCATTTTCAGACGTCTTTGGTTTCTTTTAAATATTACATGTTTTACATGTTGCCAAGCAACGGAAAAGGAATTGCATGACATATTTTATGCCTTTTTATAGTAAAAACAAAATATCTGTTGAAGCCCCCGGTCGCTTTCAGACTGGTGATTTGTTGAAGTAGTCCCTCCTCTTTCTCACCCGCCTTCCAACAACATGCAGCCTTTTTTTTCTGCATAAATCTTTAAATCAATCTCATTTAAGGAATCGATTCAATTTATTTTTATAGCACCAATTCACAACACATGTCATGTCAAGGCACTTTACAGTTCACCGGAGCATCACAGATCATCCAGGGTTAGGGTTAATCAGTAAAAAAATAAAAACTATTTTCGTGGCCCTCACTGAGTCTGGGAGCGGCCATTTTTGCCCAAATATAGTAGCCCCTCCCTCCTGCCATCTTCCAGCAGTGACGTCACGGTGCGGTAAGCCTAGCGCCATTCTCCCCGCTTTCCAAGCTAAATCAATGGGAACTACTAGACACATCTGCAATCAACAACAATTATTGAAGATTTCCAGAGGACTTCACCATTGAAATTCACCAGAGCTATAGTGAAACTGACAATGCCCACGTGCATGGCAGCTGGATGCTGGAATACATCGGGTAAAAGTGGAAAAAAGAGTTATTCCACCTTTCTGATTCCTGATCCTCCATGGACGGGTTGGTCGTTGGATCGCCAACTTGAAGAGGGAGGATTTGCCATCGAACTTCTGGCCAGAGAAAAAACCCGTAATATGTAGCCAACATTTGGAAGAAGAATGTTTCCAAGATGACTTGGATAATAGCGCGTTGTGACAAACACCAGATACAGCACTGGGACTTGATCAACAGCCGATACCGCACCGTGACAATGTCACTAACCAGTAGGGGGCAGTAGTGTTCTTTGACAAACATGGATGCCTCCAGTAAAGCACATTCACATGAAAATTACTCTGAAGTTTGAATTCTGAATATGACCAAACTTTTCCTTTAATATTATCATCAGTCTCGACATCTTTGGTGTTTGCAGTGGAAATCTAACTTTTATTTCTAGATGTCATCAGATATTCCGAACTTTCCCTCCAGTGCAAAACTGCAGAATTCACTTTTCTACGAATAAAACAAAACAGAAAAAAATAATTTTGTCCTGAAGAGATTCAGGTTGAGTTTGTTAAACCTGATCCACTGCCTATAAAGAAAAGCTTCTATGTTATCAGAGGGATGACTGTTGCTCTGTGCATATAAAGAGGTTAAACAGTGATGGAGATGATCTGGTTCTGTTCTCTAGTGTTCCACTGAAGATGCTCTGTCAGAACATGAAGCGGCAGATCGTCTCCAGAGCCTTCTATGGATGTAAGTTCTCCCTGTGGTTCCACGGAATCATCTAGAACACTCTGATGATTTTATCTGTCCTCAAAACACAGATCTTAGATATGATTATAAGGGTTTCTATTTCTACAATAAAGTCATGAAATTATGAGAATAAAGTTTTAACATTATGAGAATAAAATCGCAACGAGAATAGTCATAAAATTATGAGAAAAGTCATAAAAACACGAAAATAAAGTCGTAACATTATAAGAATAAAGTAATATAATTACGAGAATAAAGTCTAGAAATTACGAGAATAGTCATAAAAATACAAAAAAAAAATCATAACATTATAACAATAAAGTAATAGAATTACAAGAATAAAGTCATAACATTATTAGAATTAAGTCATAAAATTACCAGAATAAAGTCGTAGCATTATGAGAATAAAGTCATAAAATTAAAAGAATAAAGTCGTAGCATTATGAGAATATATATTTTTGTAGTTTTTTGACTATTCTGATTCGCAAGGAGAATAGTCATAAGACTAGAAGAATAAAGTTGCAACTAGAATAGTCATAAAATTACGAGAATAAAGTCGTAACATTATCAGAATAAAGTCATAAAATTAAAAGAATAAAATTGTAATATTATGAGAATGAAATCGCAACAAGAATGGTCATAAAATTACAACAATAAAGTCGTAACATTATGAGAATAAAGTCGTAAAATTACAAGAATAAAGTCGTAACATTATCAGCATTAAGTCAAAATTACAAGAATAAAGTCGTAACATTATGAGAAAAAAGTCGTAACATTACGAGAATTAAGTCCTAAAATTACGAGAATTAAGTGATAATATTATGACAATAAAGTGATAAAATTACAAGAATAAAGTCGTTACATTATCAACATTAAGTCAAAATTACAAGAATAAAGTCGTAACATTATGAGAAAAAAGTCGTAACATTACGAGAATTAAGTCCTAAAATTACGAGAATTAAGTGATAATATTATGACAATAAAGTGATAAAATTACAAGAATAAAGTCGTTACATTATCAACATTAAGTCAAAATTACAAGAATAAAGTCGTAACATTATGAGAAAAAAGTCGTAACATTACGAAAATTAAGTCCTGAAATTACGAGAATTAAGTGATAATATTATGACAATAAAGTGATAAAATTACAAGAATAAAGTCGTAACATTATCAGCATTAAGTCAAAATTACAAGAATAAAGTCGTAACATTATGAGAAAAAAGTCGTAACATTACGAGAATTAAGTACTACAATTACGAGAATTAAGTGATAATATTATGACAATAAAGTGATGATATTATGACAATAAAGTGATAAAATTACAAGAATAAAGTCATAACATTATCAACATTAAGTCAAAATTACAAGAATAAAGTCGTAACATTATGAGAAAAAAGTCGTAACATTACGAAAATTAAGTCCTAAAATTACGAGAATTAAGTGATAATATTATGACAATAAAGTGATAAAATTACAAGAATAAAGTCGTAACATTATCAGCATTAAGTCAAAATTACAAGAATAAAGTCGTAACATTATGAGAAAAAAGTCGTTACATTACGAGAATTAAGTCCTAAAATTACGAGAATTAAGTGATAATATTATGACAATAAAGTGATAAAATTACAAGAATAAAGTCGTAACATTATCAGCATTAAGTCAAAATTACAAGAATAAAGTCGTAACATTATGAGAAAAAAGTTGTAACATTACGAAAATTAAGTCCTAAAATTACGAGAATTAAGTGATAATATTATGACAATAAAGTGATAAAATTACGAGAATAAAGTTGTAACATTATGAGAATAAAATCGCAACAAGAATAGTGATACAATTACGACAAAAAAGTCATAAGATTATAAGAATGAAGTAATAAAATATTGAGAATAGTCAAAAATTACGAAAATAAAGTTGTATAAGAATAAATAAGAAAATTAGGAGAATAAAGTCGTAATAAGAGAATGAAGTTGTAACATTACAAGAATAAAGTCATAACATTATGAGAATACATTCGTAAAGTTATGAGAATAAAGTCGTAAAATTACAGTTGTGAAAATACGAGAATAGTCATAAAAATACAAAAAATTAAATTCTAACATTATAAGAATAAAGTAATAAATTTACAAGAATAAAGTCATAACATTATGAGAAATAAGTCATAAAATTACCAGAATAAAGTCGTAGCATTAAAGTCTAGAAATTACGAGAATAGTCATAAAAATACAAAAAAAAAATCATAACATTATAACAATAAAGTAATAGAATTACAAGAATAAAGTCATAACATTATTAGAATTAAGTCATAAAATTACCAGAATAAAGTCGTAGCATTATGAGAATGAAGTCATAAAATTAAAAGAATAAAGTCGTAGCATTATGAGAATATATATTTTTGTAGTTTTTTGACTATTCTGATTCGCAAGGAGAATAGTCATAAGACTAGAAGAATAAAGTTGCAACTAGAATAGTCATAAAATTACGAGAATAAAGTCGTAACATTATCAGAATAAAGTCATAAAATTAAAAGAATAAAATTGTAATATTATGAGAATGAAATCGCAACAAGAATGGTCATAAAATTACAACAATAAAGTCGTAACATTATGAGAATAAAGTCGTAAAATTACAAGAATAAAGTCGTAACATTATCAGCATTAAGTCAAAATTACGAGAATAAAGTCGGAACATTACGCGAATAAAGTCGTAACACTATGATAATAAAGTCGTAAAATTACAAGAATAAAGTCGTAACATTATCAGCATTAAGTCAAAATTACAAGAATAAAGTCGTAACATTATGAGAAAAAAGTCGTAACATTACGAGAATTAAGTCCTAAAATTACGAGAATTAAGTGATAATATTATGACAATAAAGTGATAAAATTACAAGAATAAAGTCGTTACATTATCAACATTAAGTCAAAATTACAAGAATAAAGTCGTAACATTATGAGAAAAAAGTCGTAACATTACGAGAATTAAGTCGTTACATTACGAGAATTAAGTGATAATATTATGACAATAAAGTGATAAAATTACAAGAATAAAGTCGTTACATTATCAACATTAAGTCAAAATTACAAGAATAAAGTCGTAACATTATGAGAAAAAAGTCGTAACATTACGAAAATTAAGTCCTGAAATTACGAGAATTAAGTGATAATATTATGACAATAAAGTGATAAAATTACAAGAATAAAGTCGTAACATTATCAGCATTAAGTCAAAATTACAAGAATAAAGTCGTAACATTATGAGAATAAAGTCGGAACATTACGCGAATAAAGTCGTAACACTATGATAATAAAGTCGTAAAATTACAAGAATAAAGTCGTAACATTATCAGCATTAAGTCAAAATTACAAGAATAAAGTCGTAACATTATGAGAAAAAAGTCGTAACATTACGAGAATTAAGTCCTAAAATTACGAGAATTAAGTGATAATATTATGACAATAAAGTGATAAAATTACAAGAATAAAGTCGTTACATTATCAACATTAAGTCAAAATTACAAGAATAAAGTCGTAACATTATGAGAAAAAAGTCGTAACATTACGAGAATTAAGTCGTTACATTACGAGAATTAAGTGATAATATTATGACAATAAAGTGATAAAATTACAAGAATAAAGTCGTTACATTATCAACATTAAGTCAAAATTACAAGAATAAAGTCGTAACATTATGAGAAAAAAGTCGTAACATTACGAAAATTAAGTCCTGAAATTACGAGAATTAAGTGATAATATTATGACAATAAAGTGATAAAATTACAAGAATAAAGTCGTAACATTATCAGCATTAAGTCAAAATTACAAGAATAAAGTCGTAACATTATGAGAAAAAAGTCGTAACATTACGAGAATTAAGTCCTACAATTACGAGAATTAAGTGATAATATTATGACAATAAAGTGATAATATTATGACAATAAAGTGATAAAATTACAAGAATAAAGTCGTAACATTATCAACATTAAGTCAAAATTACAAGAATAAAGTCGTAACATTATGAGAAAAAAGTCGTAACATTACGAAAATTAAGTCCTAAAATTACGAGAATTAAGTGATAATATTATGACAATAAAGTGATAAAATTACAAGAATAAAGTCGTAACATTATCAGCATTAAGTCAAAATTACAAGAATAAAGTCGTAACATTATGAGAAAAAAGTCGTTACATTACGAGAATTAAGTCCTAAAATTACGAGAATTAAGTGATAATATTATGACAATAAAGTGATAAAATTACAAGAATAAAGTCGTAACATTATCAGCATTAAGTCAAAATTACAAGAATAAAGTCGTAACATTATGAGAAAAAAGTCGTAACATTACGAAAATTAAGTCCTAAAATTACGAGAATTAAGTGATAATATTATGACAATAAAGTGATAAAATTACGAGAATAAAGTTGTAACATTATGAGAATAAAATCGCAACAAGAATAGTGATACAATTACGACAAAAAAGTCATAAGATTATAAGAATGAAGTAATAAAATATTGAGAATAGTCAAAAATTACGAAAATAAAGTTGTATAAGAATAAATAAGAAAATTAGGAGAATAAAGTCGTAATAAGAGAATGAAGTTGTAACATTACAAGAATAAAGTCATAACATTATGAGAATACATTCGTAAAGTTATGAGAATAAAGTCGTAAAATTACAGTTGTGAAAATACGAGAATAGTCATAAAAATACAAAAAATAAAATTCTAACATTATAAGAATAAAGTAATAAATTTACAAGAATAAAGTCATAACATTATGAGAAATAAGTCATAAAATTACCAGAATAAAGTCATAACGTTATGAGAATAAAGTCGTAACATTACGAGAATAAAGTGATACTTTAATGAGAATATATATTCTAGTTGCAACTTTATTCTTGTAGTTTTATGACTATTCTCATTCGCAATGAGAATAGTCATAAAACTACAAGAATAAAGTCGCAACTAGAATAGAAATAAAATTATAAGAATAAAGTCGTAACATTACAAGAATAAATTTGTAACATTACGAGATTAAAGTCATCAAATTACGAGAATGAAGTCATAACATTATGAGAATAAAGTTGTAAAATTACGGGAATAAAGTCTTAAAAACAAGAATAAAGTCATAACATTATGAGAATGAAGTCATGAAATTACGGGAATAAAGGTGTAACATTATGAGAATAAGGTCGCAATGAGAATAGTCATGTAATTTCGACAATAAAGTCGTAATATTATAAGAATAACGTAATAAAATGACTATAATAAAGTCTTAAAATTACGAGAATATAGTGTTAATGTTATGAGAATAAAGTCGCAATGAGAATAGTCATAAAATTACGAGAATAAAGTCGTAAAATTACACAGAAAGATATCTGTTTTTACAGATTTTGACTCAAATTTTTCCTTTAAGAATCCAAACTTTGGATCGCAGGAAATACCTGAGCAGCATTAAAATAACTTGACTTGTAGCATTTCTGACTCTTTCTGCTGCTTCAGAGCAGAACATGAAAAGTTTTTAATAGTTCAGAGTGAGGACTCCTGCATCACAGAGAAGATCTTTGGCAATGTCTCCAAATCCATGAAGACAGGATGAGCTGATATAAAGATTTAGGCTAATATTGATACCTGGTATTTATATTATTGGGAATAACCAATAACTGGTTAATTAGCTGCAACTGATTTATGGATTCGGACTCATTTCATTTCATTTTCACCACCAACCTAAAGATTTCCTTCATTCTTGGTTTGTCTCTAACTTCCTGCCTCCTGAGCTCAGCTGGGTGCTTTGTCCATGTCTCGTTTGTCCATCAGGGCTAGCATACTGTCGACACCTGTCCACCGTGCGGACTCACCTGTCAGCTCTGGTCAACCACAACATCGTCCCCCCCGACAGACCATGTGAGGCGTCAGGAGGGCTCAGCAAAGAGGTGTGGAGCAAGTACCAGAAGGACTGCAAGGTGGGTGCAGACTGTCAACCTGCAGGCTGCTGCAGGAAGCCCGGCATCAATGCAGGGATGTAAATCTGTCCCCCAGTCGCTGCAGCTCTCTATCACAGGGTGGATTTAAGACCCCCACACCGCTGCCCGGTGAACCTGAGCTCAGTGGGATGAGCTGAGCTGTGCCGCTTATCTCTGTGGGGAAATAAGGACTCCGCCTCTGCTAGACGTGAGAGTTTGTTGAAGCCCAAATGCAACATATGAGTCGCCTCTGCACTGGGAGGTTCCTGCGCCTCCACCATCAGCTCCTCACCCCAACGTTTAGCTTCTCTGAAACATGAGAGGATGCAGCAGTTGGGTTTCTGTTCGGAGCTCCGCTCTGGAAAAAAATATAAAGCTAGATAAGTCTTTTTTTCTTAAAATAAGTGCATTTGTTCTTGGATTGAGGAGGTAAAAGACACATTTTGCCAACAAGACAATTTATATTTAAAATAAGAAAACACATTTGTATCATCTTATTTCAAGTGAGCTCATTTACCTACTCAGATTAAGGGTAAATACAGTTAATTTGAGATTTTTTAAACTTATTTCTAGATTGTTTTTCCAGTGCGTGACAAAAGCTAGCCTGGTTTACAGAACTTTTTCACAATCTGCATTCCACTTATCGACTCCTTCCTTTACTTCTGACCTAAGAACTGTCAGCCTGAGAAACGTTTCACATCTCCCAGCAACCAGTCCAGCTGTGGCAGGATCCAGTTTGATGCAGCAATAACTGGCATGCAGAGCATGGATTAGTTGCTGCAAAGCTTGGTGAGATGTTAGTCTGCCTGCCAGCACAGTGTGGCATGTAACATGGCGTCCACGGCCCACCAGAAACCCTCCCTGGGATATTCCAGACCTTTGCTGGTCTGGCTGGTTTTCCTTATCTTGTTTCTTTCAGGTTGGTTTTAGCTGAGTGTGAAGCAGCCTTTAGGCCGCAGCAGTCATCAGGAGTTACCAACAGAAAGCATTTTGGTTTTTATGTTTAGCAGTGAGAAAGAGGCAAGTCTTTAATTCGATGGTTGATGCTTCTGCATCAGAGATGCGTGGGAGGAAAGGTCGCTTGCTAACGACGGCTTCTTTCATGTGTGAAACAATTAAAAATGTTTTCCAAAAATAGCTCCTGAGCAACTGGAAGCTGAACAGCAGCGTCTGTGTCCACAGCAGTGGGTGTTGTGAAAACACTGATTCATTCTCTGAGCCTTTTGGTTGCTGAAGGAGCCAGAAGCATCTAACCTTCCCAACGTTCTAATTAAGCTTCACTCCCTTCTTTGCTCAACATGTTTCTTCTTCTCCCATCCTCACCTCTGATGCAGTCAGGCCAACCGTAGGCGTCCTCCACTGTAATGAAAATGTAATGAGATTTAGTGAACTGGAGTCTCATTAGTGAGAGCAGTGTGATACCATCACAGCCATTAAGGCAGCGGCTGTAATCATTCATCAGCTCCAACATTCTCATCATCACTGATTTACTCCCTGTTCATATCTGCTTCCTTTATCTTCAGCATTCATCTGCGTCTTCTTTTCCATCGCTCTTCCTCTCCCTCTGTTACGGACGCGCTGCCGTCTCTCTGTAGGCTTCCTCTCCTCATGCAGATCCTTTCTATTTGTGTCTCTAGAACTACAAGGAGCTGGAGCTGCTCAGGCTGGTCTATTATGGGGGAGTGCAGCACGAGATCAGGAAGGAGGTTTGGCCCTTCCTGCTGGGACACTATAAGTTTGGGATGAGCAAGAAGGACATGAGCCAGGTATGGCACGCAACTGTCCGCTTAGTTACCGCCTCGTTTTGCCATTTGCCACCTGATCTCTTTTCTTTTTTTTGCTCATGGAGATTGATGCCAAGATCCAGGAGCGCTACCAGCAGGTGATGCGGGAGTGGAAGGCCTGTGAGGTCATCGTTAAGCAGAGGGAGAAGGAGATGCAGTCGGCCATCTTTGCTAAGCTGTCGTCTGGCAGCAGCATAGACAGCCACGTCCTACGGCTCGCTCACAGAGACTCCACACTCAGCAATGAGGTGAAAAGGAGACTTTAGGAAACAAGCTGCCTCATTTTTCATCATTATATATTCAGATATTTGATGAGATGCCCAATTAGCTTTTCCTCCACTTCCAGTTCAGTCCCTTCCCTTCATCTTGTCCTGATTAATCGTTCAGGGCTGTGGGGGGGCTGGTGCATACCTGCGGCAGGAAAGCCGGGGTACACCCCTGACAGGTCACCAGTCCGTCACAGGGCAACACAGATGCACAACCATGCACACACAAACTCACACCTGTAGAGGATTTAGGGAAGCCAACTGTTTTTGGACTGTGGGAGGAAGCTGGAGTACCCAGAGAGAACCCACACATGCTCAGGGAGAACATGCAAATTCCATGCAGAAAAAAGCTGGGCTGGGGATCAAACCCAGCTGCAAGGCGACAGAGCTACTAACTATAGCACCGATTCTCAAAACGTCACTTTATGGAGAAAATGCAGTAGGATCAAACAGTCAGATTCCCATACTGCAGAATAGAGATAGAATGAAGCAGAATGATGAAAAGTGGTCTCCATGTCCTCCAGCGGTCTAAGCCTATAGCAGCATAACTATAGGGATAGCTCAGCGCCCTCATTGGTTTTAGGTCAGGAGTAGTTTTTGCTGGGATGCTATCTGTGCCCCAGTCTGTCTGTCTCCTGCAGGGCTTCATATCTACTGCTCCTGTTCATGCTATGGCCTCCTGGCTGAGTTCTTGATGGAGGCCTAAAGCCTCACAGGCATTCCCACACTGACTAAGTTCTGTTTCAAACTGTTTTATTTAGGAAATATAGATGAAAATTCAATTCTATGATAAAGGCATTGTTGTTGGTATTTATTAAATTGAGAAAGCTGAACAGAAACTCCGTGTACAATCAAAAGTGGGTCCAATTCTGTATTAAACATATCTGATAAAATTTGGAATATGCTAGACCAAAATGGGGTTAAGCCTATGAATAACTTTGAATTAAATAAGACGGCGTCTAGAGTTGGCTGAGCACTTGTGAATCTTCTCTAGCGTAGCCTTCCAGAGTTCGTTACTTATATCCATTCCTATGGAGGTTTTGGTGAGGTTTTGGATAGTAACACATTATAAATCTGGGAAATGAATGTCTGTTCTATAGTGTCAATTCACAACATGTCATCTCAAGGCCCTTTACAGATCATCCAGTCAGATAGATTCAAAGTTTTCTATCTAAGGAAAACCAGCTGATTGCATTGACTCTTCAGCAATCCCTCACACTAAGCAAGCTTGTAGCGACAGTGGAGAGGAAAAACTCCCTTTGAACAGGAAGAAACCTCCAGCAGAACCATAACCAGAAAAGGCGGCCAGTTATCACACCAGTATATTTATATTAATGCTGACAACAAAAACACTATAAAAACACTTTATGAAAACAAAACCTAGTTTTATGTATAGGTTCACTTTTTGTACAAAAATCTTGCCCTTCTGAGGCTTTGTGAAGGTAAATCTGTGTTTCCATGGTGCAATATTGTGTCACACACCTAAAAAAATAATGTACCAGTTTAATAACGGAGAAGCTATTAGTCAGCTTTATAATTTTTTAATGTATAACAACTATTTATTTTCTGAGAATGTGTTTATTTAACAGCAACTATGCTGTTGTGCCACTTACCAGAAGATTATGAATATATTAAATAACTAGAACTGGAAGTTAGTTAATTAATAGGTAATTCAAATCAAGAGTAAAAGCTAGTTTTTAATTATCAGTTGAGTTATTATAACTGTAACTTGCTTATTGACCAGGGTTTTAGCCCTTTTCCTATCAGGAAGGGGCTAAAACCACCAACCCAAATAAATGTGTCTTTGTTCATTCAGATTTCACTGAAAGAAGAGTGAATCCAACCTGAGTGAATAATCGTTTACTCTGTAAAATGAATACAAAAGACCACGGATTAAAAATACGATGGTACCTTTATTAGCTACAATCACACAGTATTATATCTAATAACTCAGCAAAACACTAAACACTACTGAAAATAAGCAAAACCAAAGAAATAAAAGGGGAAGAGGGGTTTAAGCGTCCGTTCAAAGTCTGTGATGTTTGAAGTTTAAGGCTTAATGCATTTAAAAGTGTCCTTTATAATAGCAGCAGATAAAACGTAAATAAAACCCTGACACACACACAGCGATGTTACCTGCAGTCAAAACAGTGAAGTTTCATTCAGTTTATGGTGAAAATGAATAATGACTCAGGAATGCATTAAACTATGATGAGGCTGAAAGACCCGTTAGTTTAGCTGGCTGCAGGGGTTCTGGTTCTGGTTGGGTCCAACTGAAACAAAGAGACTGTAGTGAGCATTAGCATTCAGTTAAACCTTCAGGCATCAGCAGTTGAACCAGAAAGCTTATTTCACATAAAACACCAACACGTCTATATATCTACCTATAGTTCACTCAAGCAGAGCACTTATTAAGCATCAGATGATAAGGAGGGGGAGGGATCCAGTTACTGTTTTGGTTCAGTGGAGTGAAGGCCTTCGGCTCGGTCCTGTGGTCTGCAGCCCGTCTTCGGTCCAGTCCGTTGGTCTTACAGCAACTCAAAGAGATTTGGATCAATCCGATGCAACAATAAGGGGGGATTTGCAAGGGAGTTAATTTTATAACTCACGGTATCACGCGGGGTGTCTCCCTTTTAGCTATGGTGGTTAGCACGTAACCGTGGCTTGTAGCACTTCTGCGGCACTGCTCCATCTCTTCATCTCACAGGCGGTCACGGTCCGGCGGCTTCTAGCGGCTTCTTTTGGCGACGTTGTTCGGCGGTTAGCAGAGCTGGATTAGCTCTGTGCTGTCCCTGCTGCAGCAGGATTTAGAATCCACTGCGTTCAGCTCTTTCTGAATCACAGAAAAAATGCAGTCTGACTCAGTCCAGCGAGCGCAGACTTCTCCGGAGATGTTAGGTTGCTACATAGCGTAGCCCTCAGCTGGGAGCGCTTCTGTCTAGCTGTTATCGGTGAGAACTGCCGGCAAAATAGAACACTAATATGGGAAGCTAAGGTTTTTAAAACCTACGCCGGAAGGGTGTGTCTTCAGAACGGTGTACTTCCGGTAACATCAGCAAGAATGTATAGCAACAATGCAAATGAGCAAACATCTAGAAAAAGTAGATTATATTCTATTATTTTCCATGTGAATCCCAGATTGTTTCTTCTTCTTTGCCTTTTCTAAAAAGTGCTTTAAATCAGTCCTAGCTGTCTTTATTCATGCTGCATCAGATCCTGACGATTGAAAAACATTTGAAAAAGGAGGCAGGGAAAGCAGAATACAGTGTTAGTCTCACTACATGCAGTTAGCCTAGCCTTGGAGCTAAACCAGGACCTGAAAAAAAGACCTAGTGAACCGTCTCCATCTGTCTTTGGACTGATGATCAATGTTGATGTTCGACTGATCAGGTCCGCACGATTTCACCTCCAGCTTCTCTTAAGTTTGCTTTAAGGGAGTTTATTTCTGCGACTCAACCTGTCAATCAGCCCCACTACCACTGGGATGACAGTTCCCGTCATCCCAGGGCGCTCCACTCCTGCGCCCAGAGCTCTCCTATTCCTTTGTATTGCAGAGGAGTTACTGCGCTTTTAACCAGAGTCTATGGCCAAAGATATTTGCACCCCAGGCTCATAAATACGTCACAAATCCAATGACAAAAAATGAAACAGCTTTTGTTGTCATTAAAGATTAAATATTTATCTTGCACACTTGAAAAAATATTAATATATTTCAAATTATTTAAATTTTATAATTTCATTTTTATTTGTTTTTTTTACGTCTTAATCAAGGTCATTGGGTGGGTGGGGCCGCTCTAAAGCCTGTAGGACAGGGGCCCTTAAGGACAGACTTTGGGGATGCTTATTGTCGAGCCTAATTAGAAATTGACCACCAGTAGAAATGAGCTGATCTAAAGAGATGTGGCGCCACCTGCTGGTAATACCTCCAACTATCACAAAGCAAGCTGGTGGCAATATGCAGCTACCCAACCACCCTCCAGTGCTTTAAGGAACAACAGCAGCTCTGTTTAGTTTAAGACTGAAATCATGAAGTAAACTGGGTTTTATGTTCTTTAGTCCTTGAACCGTTTTCTTCACACTGAAGACCAAACGGTTCTAAACTCCCGGTTCCTTCTCTCTCATCCTTCCTCAGGTCTTTATGTCTGTGGACGAGCCGGATGCTGGGAGCCAGGAGACACCCATTGGAGAAGACGGCACTCCTGTCATGACCACCCTGGCCCCGCCCACTGCTGGGCCCCCAGAGGAGCGTCCTCTGGTAGAGTTTGACTCCCCCGACTCAGGCCTCCCTTCCTCCAGGAACTACTCTGTGACTTCTGCTCACTCTCAGATCCTGTCCAGCATAGACGACGGTCAGAGCACCGAGGAGGAAGGGGGGACCTCAGTGGGGGGGCGTCAGGACTCTCTGATGGAGGACAAGCTGTGCAGTCAGCTGGACAAACTGGTGACGAGCGGAGCAGCCGCTGAGGGGATGTCCGCCTCTCTGTCCTCTTACACGGTGCGTGAAGACAAACGGAACTAATGACGTCTTTGAAATGCTTCACATCCAACTGGATGGAGATGATCCCATCAGTTATTTCTAGCTTCATCGCCACTCAGTCACAGATCGGAACCATTTAGGATAGTTTCTCTGTGCATCTCAACTCTTTACTGGGAAGCGGCCTCAGTTTGTCCTCCTGGAAGTAGATACAGTGGTGCTGACCCACCTTGTTTCTTCACACAGATCGAGCTCCTGGACACAGTGGCCGTCAACCTCCACAGAATAGACAAAGATGTGCAGCGCTGTGATCGCAACTATTATTACTTCACCACTGCCAACCTGGAGAGACTACGCAACATCATGTGCAGGTAGAGGAAACAGGAAGACACCGACCTGCATGGCCTTCTGATCAGCAGACAGACGGCTAATAAACTGGCTTCACTCATGCAGTTAGATGTTACTTATGAGAGATGAGGTTTGGCTCCTCAGAATTGGTTCAAAGTAAAAATGTTCTGAGCTGTTTGAAGGATCTGCAGCAGAACCTGCTGAGCTGAAGGTTCTGATGAAGCTCCTGTGTCTCTGTCTGCAGCTACGTGTGGGAGCATCTGGAGATGGGCTACGTTCAGGGCATGTGTGACCTGCTGGCACCGCTGATGGTCATCCTGGATGACGGTGAGACGGCGCTCTCTGTTAATCCTCTGTTGGGTCACTGAATATACCAATGAGTCTTCATATGGAAACAGACCAATAGAAAGTGTGAATAAGTAAATCCACTACCCTCTGAAACTGATCCGTGCCGAGTTCGGACCGGGCTAGGACCAGTTAACCGTGCCGAGCTAAGTTCCTTACGGCCTCCTAGTGGTGATATACGGTACTACTGCTCTCTGTGATTATGTTTTGTTCCGTCCAACATCGCCTGGATAGCGTCCTCCTCCTGATTTCCTTACATACTGCCTGCCAGAATAGCCTCATGTTCTTGCACTCCCAAAGACAGTGATATCTAGTGCCTTTAGTTAAGTTAAGGACGGGGCCTCCTGTGGAGCTGGTTGACAGCTGCCTTTTGTATCTATGCTTCTTTTTCTATGTCTGCTTCTGTCTCCTTGAACCCCAGTGGGCCTCAGCAGATGGCCGCTCACACTGAGCCTGGTTCTGCTGGAGGTTTCTTCCTGTTCAAAGGGAGTTTTTCCTCTCCACTGTCGCTACAAGCATGCTTAGTGTGAGGGATTGCTGAAGAGTCAATGAGTCGATGCAATCAGCTGGTTTTCCTTAGATAGAAAACTTTGAATCAATCTGACTGGATGATCTGGTGAACTGGAAAGTGACCTGAGATGACATGATGTGAATTGGAGCTATAGAAATAAACTGAATAGAATTTAATTAAATTACATTTAGGACAATTTGGAGAAGCACCTGCAATGCTGTATATATAAGGCAATATGTAAACATTGACTAGGATGTTGAACTGCATGCTTTCTTTGTATCTCTTACAGACTGATATTCTGGAAGGCAGAAACAAATTTTCTACCATGGTTCAGAATCTATTGTTATTTTAAACAGCACTCTGCAAAAAAAATTTATTTAAGTAAGTCAATTTTTCTTAAAAGGAGTGCATTTCTTCTTTAATTGAGCAGATAAGAGAGTCTGCCAATGGAAAAAGACAATTAAGATGACAAAAAAACAAATGCAGTCTCTTATTTCTGCATTATAACTGCATTATAACTAATTACCTTATTTTAATGGTAAAAATGCTAATACCTTTGGCAGATCATCTTATTTTCCTACTCAAATTAAAGGTAAATACAGTTATTTTAAGAAATGTTGACTCTTTTTCAGAACGTTTTTGCAGAGCCCTACTAATGAACTAGTACCATGTTAGCGCGGTTTGGTTGGGTCCGGTTCAGTTACCTTGGTTACCGTGCTCAGCACGGTTTCAAAAGGCTAGTGTAAATGGGGCTTATTTCATAACAGTATAGTTTAGCTTTTTGGTTCCATGTGTTTCGGAGCATAACCGCGGTTAGCGGTTGGCATTAGTGATGCAGCCTCCTTTATCCTGCTTCTTTCTGTGGCTTTCAGAGAGTCTGGCCTACAGCTGCTTCACTCAGCTGATGAAGAGGATGAGTCAGAACTTTCCAAACGGTGGAGCCATGGACACACACTTTGCCAACATGAGGTCGCTGATCCAGGTGATGATGAGTGTGAGTGTGAACTTTCCCCCCGTTAGCATCCGTCTCTAACCTCTGCCCTCCTTCCTGCTGGCAGATCCTGGACTCGGAGCTGTTTGAGCTGATGCAGCAGAATGGAGATTACACTCACTTCTACTTCTGCTACCGCTGGTTCCTGCTGGACTTTAAAAGAGGTGAATCTCTCCCTGTGACGATGTCGTTCCTCCTCTTCGTCACTACTTTATCACCTCAGGTTAAACCAAATATTTACACGCAGCCTAAATGAAACACAAACCTTCGTTCCTTCACTGACCGTCTGTGGATCAGACTCACCTCTTCCTGTTCTGGTTTGTCTCATGGGCCGTTTCTCAATTCACGAGAACACAAGTCCGTACTGGTGTTCTCGTGAAGTCTGGTCTTGGCAAGAACACAGGAAAGTCTGGACTCTGGGAGAACGGCAGCAGGCAGCATAAATCAGGGTCAAATGGAAAAGAAATGTACTGGTGACGTCACCGCACGCTCGGCTCGTCTATTAATAGTCTCTATTAAATAATAAATTATGACTTTATTCATTTAGTGGAGGAATAATAATGAACACAGTCAGATAAGCACAAATCAAATGATCATTTTGCCAAATAAAACAATCAGAGCCAGCGGTACTTCATACGCGGCTATGCAGAGAGAGGGCTGCTGCAGACGGGCTAACGTTAGCCCTGGCCGCTGCAGACGTGCTAACGTTAGCCCTGGCTGCCGTTAGCTTTGGAGCTCCGCTGGTTGCCGCAGTCCTCTCAACTTCGGAAATCTTTTTTTTTATTACACATTAAATCTGTAAATAGACGCTTTAAAGTATAATATTCTTGCCTCAAGTGATCTTAAAACATACTTTTATTGAACAGCAACAGAAAAGAGAACTTTTAACTTTCAATGGCGGCACCATTGTAAGATGCTGCCGCAGTGCATGCTGGGACAGCTGTCAGTCTCAAGAACGGAAAAGTCTGCTCTGATGCATGCTGTGTAAATAGGGAGGGGTGAGAACAACATCCAGGAATTGGTCCATTGGTCCATTCTCGGTCTGGCGTTCTCTGCAATTGGAGCATTGCTTGGGCTGAGGCTCATGACGTATCACAAGGAGACAGAAACGGCCAGAAGTCCAGTCTTGTTTTTGGCAGCCATCTTTGATTTAGTCTTAGTTTAGGTCTTCAGGACGAAAACTATTATTAGTCTTTGTGGCATTTTAGTCATTACGATATGTGATAGTTTTAGACAGTTTTATGTTTCACTTCATCAAACAGTTTACCTTTATCATTTGGAATACCAACCAGATTCTTTCCCAGACTGATAGCTCTATCCTAGATGCTACAATAGCTGGGTATAGAATGCTGCTGTGCAGATCATCCTTGCTGTTGGGCAGAAAATTTTGATTTATCAAATTCAAATAAACTTTTTAATGAATTAATGCCCTACTCTATAAAAAAGTGTCTCACAAAAGCTGTGAAAATAGCAGATCTAGTTCAACACATCCTATTGGTTAATATAGCAGATAAGCTGACAAAATGTCCAACCAAGGAATAATTTTAGACATCCAAGGTTTTCATCCCAAAGGAAACACTTCCTGCATTAAACACAGATCAATAAAATCTTTATTGCTCCAAAAAGCCACTCAGGGGTCAAAGTAGATTTAAATTCACAGGGTTTGATATAAGAAAAATACATAGAGAACCTAAATGACTGCCTTTTAATGCCATGGCAACCCGGACCTAAATTTCAATACGTTGACTAAGATGTTGAAATATTAAAATAGATATAAACAAGAAATATGAGAGAGAAATATTCAAAGAACGATGTACCTTTTCATCTTGGTCTTTATCCAAAAATAAACAGAATGCAATAAAATATTTTCTTTGAATATATTTAGGGATTCCTTTAGGTAAAAATTTAAGAAGGTTTAGTATCACCTTTTGTGAGCTGGAAGTAATTAAATCCTAATATTTAGATAAAGGGATGTTTTACTCTTGGCAGAGGATGATCAGCCAATTTAGATTCTGTTTATTTCTATAGCGCCAACTCACAACACGTCATCTCAAATCACGCTGGAAGACCCAGCCTCCACCCATCTGCAATATTCCAATGGAGGGAAGGAGGTTGTTCCCCAAAATCTCCCAATACATGGCCCCAGTCATCCTGTCCTTAATACAGAGCAGTCGCCCTGTCGCATGTGCAGAAAAACACCCCAAAGCATCATGCTACCACGCCCATGCTTCACAGTAGGGAAGGTGTTCTTGGGATGGTTCTCATCATTCTTCTTCCTCCAAACACAGTTAGTGGAATTCTGACCAAAAAGTTCTATTTTGGTCTCATCTGACCACATGATTTTCTCCCATGACTCCTGTGGATCGTCCTAATGGTCAATGGCAAACTGCAGATGGGCCTTGACATGTGCTGGTTTAAGCAGGGGAACCTTCCCTGCCATGCGTCATTTCAAACCATGACGTCTTAGTGTACAGTAACCATGGAAACGGTGGTTCCAGCTCTTTTCAGGTCATTGACCAGCTCCCGTAGGTGTATAATTTAGTCTCTAGCAGGGTGGTTCTTAACCTTTCTTGAGGTTTCCTTTGTGTATTCACTAAACCCTTCTTTTGTGATAAATAACATATGTAACAATTTTCGAAATCCAAGACATAGGTGTATGTTTTTAACTGGGCCATACATGAACATGACCTCGCTTAAAGAACAAAACCAACACAGTGCATGAACTCACAGCAAATAATAAATATTTTACGTTACGACAGCCGTTTAATACGCACTAAAGCCCCCGCAGCACTGATTGGCCATGCAATGTGATGTTATCCTCTGCAGCTAGTGATGGCGTGTTGAGGAAAAAAAAAACAAAAGCGGGGCGTGTCACCACGAACTTTACAAAACTGTGTCTTTACCTCTGCAGCAGAGGCGCCGCTGAACCCCTGAGATGAACTCATCGATCCACTAGGGTTCGATCGATCCACTAGGGTTCGATCGGACGCCGGCTGCTCTAGTGTCTGTGGACAGCTCTTTGGTCTGGGCCATGTTCATAGTTGGATTCTTACGGGTTGTATGGGCTGGAAGCGTGTCTTTATGCAGCCAACCACCCCAAACAGGTGCATCTAATTTAGGAGAATAAATGGAGGTGGACATTCTGAAGGCAGACTAACAGGTCTTTGAATTCTAGCTGATAGATAGGCCTTTAAATACTTATTTGAAGCTGAAACATACAAATAAATAGTTTTTAAGAAATCATATATTGTGATCTCCAGACTTTTTTGTGTAGATTATGTCTCTGACATTGGACTTGAACATACGACGACAATTTCAGACCCTCTATGATTTCTAAATGGGGGAAGTTGGATTATAGCAGGTCAAATACTCCCATTTCTTGCGGAATTGTTTTTTTACTGCTTTTGTAAGGTAGTCCTCCTGCTCTCTCTGTTAATTTAATCCATTTTTGGGTTTAGCTGTAAATTAAAATCGCCTTTGCATGTACACATGCTGCATGCATCTGTGGCCACGAGACCAAATACCTCCTTAAAGAAATCTATACTACAACCAGGGGGGATATATATATCTGTATATGTGTGCTGATGGCTTGGATCTTGTTTTTCCCATTCAGCTGGCACTAATCATGGCAGCACAAGAACAGGCACTCAGTACAAGATCAATAGAGGCCGGGGTCTACCACACCAGGCAGGACCGCCGGTGCAGACTGTGCAAAGATGCCTCTGAAACAATACAGCACATAACAGCGGGGTGTAAAATGCAGGCAGGAAGTGCATACATGGAACGCCACAACCAGGTAGCTGTCATAGTGTACAGGAACATCTGCCATGAGTATGGGCTGGAAGTCCCAAGGTCAAAATGGAAGACACCTCCTAAGGTAGTTGAGAATGACCGAGCTAAGATCCTATGGGACTTCAAGATCCAGACTGACAAACAGGTGATGGCTAACCAACCAGACATCGTGTTCATCTGTAAGGAAAAAATTTCTACATTTGAAAAATTTTGAAATTAATGTAGCCTGTTAGCAGTTCCTAACAGTTAGCATCATGTTAGCGGGACGCCAGCTGTGCAGAATAGAAATGCTGGAGCTTCTTTCAGGGATTTTAAATGCTGCCTTTTTAACTGAAATTGGTCGACGACGTCACCTTGAGGGTTTTTCTCATGCAGACATTCAGTAACATTTATATGCTGTGTGTTTAGAGCTCCTGTATGAGGACGTGTTTGCCGTGTGGGAGGTGATCTGGGTGGCCCCCAGGATCTCCTCTCGGCATTTTGTCCTCTTCCTGGCCCTGGCTCTGGTCACCGTTTACCGTGAGATCATCGTAGACAACAACATGGACTTCACCGACATCATCAAGTTCTTTAACGGTACGCTCATGTTGTGTTTGGTCTGATTTACATTCTGCCATCAGTAACTCATGTTTATTAATCACACCACAGCAAATCTCGTTTGGTGTGAATTTGTTTTCCACTCTATCATAATTTCCTTTTCTCTACTGTGTGGGGAAGAAATCCATCTGGCGATTTATCTTGATTGCCTGATATAATATTTCGATCTTTCAGTTCCCTTTTGCAGTTTGCTTTTTTTAAAAACAAAACATTTTTACCTGAAACAATGAGGCTACCTCTGCACCAGATGGCGCTGTGGAGCCCGTTAGCTGTGCGGTGCAGCACCATATCTAGCTCAGGCAGTCACAGTGCAAGACTTGGACCAACTGTGGATCTGTCCAAAGCATTTGACTCTGTTGACCATAAGCTATTACTAGATAGACTAATTAACATTGGCATAGGAAACACAGCTATTACTTGGTTCAAAAACTATCTTACAGAGCGAACGCAATGTGTTTCTATAGATGGTCTTAAATCATACTTTTTAGAAATTTCTATGGGTGTTCCTCAAGGTTCGATTTTAGCCCCCATCTTATTTTCTATATTCATAAATAACATTGGAAAGGACGTGCAAACTGCTAAACTGCATCTTTATGCAGATGACACTGTGATTTATTCAGTTGCCTCTTCACTGAACCAAGCCATGCATGACCTTCAGTTGGCCTTTCAGCAGCTTCAAGTTTCTCTACATGGCCTTAAGTTAGTGCTAAATACTAAGAAAACCAAATGTATGACGTTTTCAAGGACTCGTTCCCAATCCCCAGATAATATAACTATTAACACATTAAATGGAGACTTAATTGAAAATGTTTCTTCATATAAGTATTTAGGTTTTTGGCTGGACAACAAACTTTCTTTCAAAGTTCATGTTGAAAAACTTGTAAAAAAGCTGAAACTACAGCTGGGGTTTTATTTTAGAAATAAAACTTGTTTTAACAAGTCAGCCAGAAAAACACTTGTGAAGGCTACTTTTTAAAGTGTTTTGGACTATGGTGATGTTGTCTACATGCATGCTGCCTCTAGTACTCTCCACCTGTTAGATTCTGTGTACCATAGTGCTCTGCGCTTCCTAACTAACTCCTATTCCCGTACTCATCATTGTACGCTGTATGAACTGGTAGGCTGGCCGTCACTAAGTCTACGTAGACAACTTCATTTCTATATTTTTCTATACAAGGCCATGTTGGGTAAACTGCCGGCATATTTATGTAATCTCCTCAAGCTAAATTCCTGCCATTTTCATCTCCGTTCCACCAGGTGGCGCTCTTACCAGGTTCCAATGGTTTTTACTGAGCTGGGGAAGAAATCCTTCTCTTACTTTGCTCCATGGTCCTGGAATAATTTGCAAAACTTGCTCCATTTAAATGATCTAGTCCAATTGAATGAATTTAAGGCCATGTTAAAATGTCATGTCATTCAAAAATGTAACTGCCCTATGTGACCTGTCTTTTCCTGTGAGATTTTGTCTATGTTGTATTTCTGTTTGTATTTTAACTGGTGTGCCGTCTTGGCCAGGTCTCCCTCAAAAAAGAGATTTCAATCTCAAGGGACTTCCTGGTTAAATAAATAAATAAAAACTCAACCCCCAAACAACATGGATACCAAAATCATTCATTTACAGCACTTACTTTTTTATTTATACATTTAATTTTTATACCTTGGAAAAACATCGCAATAAATGGTGATATTGCAATATCGTGATAATATTGTATCGTGACCCAAGTATGGTGACACGTATAGAATCATGTCACTAATACCAATACTCACCCCTGATACCAAAACAGTGTTTTGTGAAACGGAATCAGAGGGATAAACATCAAAGCTACAACCATTTAAAGGAGAACTCCGCTCATATTCAGAATTCAAACTTCTGAAAGTTCTTTAAATCTGAAATGATTCCATCCTGTTCAATAAATGATCAGTGTTTTTAATTCAGAGTAATTTTCATGTAAATGTGCTTTACTGGAGGCATCCATGTTTGTCAAAGAACACTACTGCCACCTACTGGTTAGTGACGTCAGTAGACGTAGTGATCGAATTAAAGCTAAATTCATTAAATCACTGCAAACGTATTAGATTTAGGTATAAATAATGATCTATTGGTTGTTCCTGGCTGACCAGACTTTTCCTTTAAAATAAACTCCTTCTCTGTCACATCTCCACCATATCTGCTCACCGAACAACAGAAACGTTCATTCAACCATTGCTTCCTTCTGGCTGTCGGTCGCTAAGGACGGATTGGTTGGACAGGTGTGCTCACCTGAGCAGCAGATCTCTGCTGCTCCTCCAGAGTCACCATGTGTCTCTTCTTCTCCCGACTTGATGCAGGCTGAGGTTTTATACCATGTCTCCTTTATGATGATCTTTATGATCTGTTTAGCGTTTTTCTCGTCTCTCTGCAGAAATGGCGGAACGTCACGACGTCCAGCTCATCCTACGGATAGCCCGGGAGCTGGTGCACAGAGTCCAGTCTCTGATGGACAACAAGGAACTGGTGTGACTGGGAGGACGGCGTGTGCAGCCTGGTGTCAGAGAGACGGGTTTGTGGCCCTTAGGGGCCCCGCTGGAGGCCCCGGAGTTCTGTTTACATGTTCCTTCACATGGAATGCCCATGGTGTCTGTTCAGACATGTGGATTTGTCTGCATGCTAGTGAGTTTAATCACACTGTGAACACATTCTTCAGTCCCCAGTCCAACAGCGTGTGCGTGCATGAAAACACACACACGGAGCGCCAGCTGCTCGCCAGCTGTGGCGCAGTGCTGCAGGAGGCCACCAGAGGACAGCATTCACACATCGCATGGTCAGAGACAGAAGACTTTGCCACGAAGATGCTTTCATCCGTGACCAAATGAACTGTGCCAACCACTGTTTTCTACAAGCACGCATGTTTTTAGCTGCTGGCCCCATTTTTAGCTTCTGTTCTTGTCTGATGTCTCATTGTTACACAAATGTTGCCTTTACTGACAGCCCAAGGTACTTAGATGCACTTTTCTCTGAGAGTTTCCTATTGGTTCTTATGAAGGAGGATTGGTTGCAGCCAGTTTTCCTGCACATGGTGGCAGATATTTAAAGCACGTGTGGAACAAAAACAGAAGAGCACAACAGAAAAGGGAAAAGCACAGAAAAAGGCCTCTGATGGAGGGAAGCAGCTTCTAAAGCTGCCTGGACCAGAGTCAGAGCGTTCAGGGTGACCAGATCCGCCGGTCGGTCCATGCAGGGTCTGTCCATCACAGACACAGTGATACCTGAGGGAAACCAGTGACGCCAGCAGCCAACGCACTGGATGGGCTTCCCCAGACTGGGATTTAATTCTATTCTATTCAGTTTATTTCTATAGCTCCAATTCACATCATGTCATCTCAGGTCACTTTCCAGTTCACCAGATCATCCAGTCAGATTGATTCAAAGTTTTCTATCTAAGGAAAACCAGCTGATTGCATCGACTCATTGACTCTTCAGCAATCCCTCACACTAAGCATGCTTGTAGCGACAGTGGAGAGGAAAAACTCCCTTTGAACAGGAAGAAACCTCCAGCAGAACCAGGCTCAGTGTGAGCGGCCATCTGCTGAGGCCCACTGGGGTTCAAGGAGACAGAAGCAGACATAGAAAAAGAAGCATAGATACAAAAGGCAACTGTCAACCAGCTCCACAGGCGGCCCCGTCCAGGAAACACACAGCCAGGCAGACGAGCTCCGAGCCAGCTCCCATGTCAGAGGAGGAAGAGAGCACATCCAGTTAGTCACAGTCAGAGAAACAGGACTACACTGGAAAACAGGCCAAGCTCCAACATCTATAAACAAAGGTGTTGATGGCAGCAGCACAGCTGATATTTCTCTCCAGGATGGAGTCACAGCCAAACAGGAACAGACCAGATGAAGCTACTATGAGAAAAAGCAGAGAGAGCAGAACGTTAGAGATTGAACTAACAGATTCTGCAGAGTGGGAGAATAGAGATAGAATGAAGCAGAATGATGAAAAAGGGGTCCCTATGTCCTCCAGCAGTCTAAGCCTATAGCAGCAGAACTATAGAGATAGATCAGGATAACCTGAGCCACTCTAACTAGAAGCTTTATCAAAAAGGAAAGTTTTAAGCCTAGCCTTAAAAGTAGACAGGGTGTCTGCCTCACGGACTAAAACTGGTAGTTGGTTCCACAGGAGAGGAGCCTGATAACTAAAAGATCTGCCTCCCATTCTACTTTAGAAATTCTAGGAACCACTAGTAAACCTGCAGATTGAGAGCGAAGTGCTCTGTTAGGAACATAAGGAACAATCAGATCTCTGATATCAGATGGAGCTTGGCCATTTAAGGCTTTATATGTGAGAAGGAGGATTTTAAATTCTATTCTGGATTTAACAGGAAGCCAATGAAGAGAAGCCAGGATAGGAGAGATATGATCTCTCTTTTTCATTTTCATCAGAACTCTGGCTGCAGCATTTTGGATCAGCTGAAGGCTTTTAACTACAGTTTGTGGACTTCCTGATAGTAAAGAATTACAATAGTCCAGCCTTGAAGTAACAAATGCATGGACTAGTTTCTCAGCATCACCCCTGGACAGGATATTTCAAATTTTTGCAATGTTCCTCAGATGAAAGAAGGAAATTCTAGAAACCTCTTTGATCTGGGATTTAGATGACAGGTCCTGATCAAAAACAACACCACGATTTTTTACTTTATTATCTGAAATCAGTTTAATCCATTCATTTAAACCCCAGACCTTCCTGCTGGGGATGATCTGAGAAGCTGCTTTAGGTTAAGGTGTCTGAACCAGCAGATGATGCCGTTCCTAACGGATCGTCAGTGATTTGCTGCACAAACGAGAGTCAGTTACCTCCAGTAAACGCCGCCTCCACGTCACTGGTCCTTTCTGCACTAATGAGGGTTTTCAGGTGTTATTTCTGAGCCACTGGTGGGTTCTGATCATGAACCAAGTGGAGGATTTAAGCTCGGAGGAGCAGGAAGGAGGGATGATTGGGGTTTGGCTTCTGTCTGCTGCTTCAGCTGCTTTCAAGGCGGTTTGACACGACAGAATCCTGTAAACCTGCTCCAGCTGGAGTCTGTCTGCGTTCCTTTAAGATCCGACAGTTTTACTTCCTGTCACTTTAACGACGTTTAGCTTCTGGGTCCTGCTCTGTGATGGACCTGCTCCGGTTCGCCCTGCTGCTCGGCCTCCCTCTGAATAAACCTTTGATCTTTACCAGCAGTTAAAGGCACAAAAAAAACAACCAACCATTATGTGTAGCATCGCCTTTAAATTCCAGGATATTTTAGTTCCAGGAAACAACTGGATCTTTTAGAAAACAACAGCAGTTTAAAGGGAGGGAATCCACACGTTCCTGTTCTGATAATCTGAAGATGCCCATCGTTCCACCTGCATCATCATCATCCTCCTCCTGTCTAGAAAAATGGCTGCAATTTTTCAAGCTCCAAATAAAAAGCTGATTTAGACGAAGGCAGAGTCTCCTCTGCCTCCAGCCGGTCGGTGTGGTAGGTTCCATCCGCTCCGCAGTTACCGCAGCGTGACCCTCGATGACCCGTCCAACTCGGCTGCATTTCATCGGTCATCCAGCACCGACCTCCACCTGTGAAACCAAGTGCCAAGAGTCTTCCCCGAACCCCGAAGTGTACTGTAGTCCTCCGGCTCCGTTAGTCCCACCCAGGATCAGGTGGCGGTGTGGATGTACCTCGCCACAGCGTCCGCTCCCCTCCTCCCTCTCCACGGTGTCATAGCGGCGGAGGTGCTGGATCAGGGAGGGTCGGAGTAGAACCTCTTCTTCTTCTTCCAATCAGGACGTGGTGTACCAAAGCCTTGAAAAAGCCCCCTCTGTGGCATGAAGACAATGTGCAATTTCATACTGCATCTTGAAGACTGACTGTTTACTATGTGTGTAAAATATTTTGAGATATTTTCGTGTTCTTGGATTCTTAACTGCTGTGCAATTTCTGTTGTTTTGGAATCCCAGCAAAGTCTATATTCCTGTACATACATACGAACCAAAAGCCCAATATTTGTATCTCTATATAGAAATATCTATAACTTATTTTGGGATCTATTTTTCTGTTGGTTGTGGCGGCGGCGGCGGGATGTGTGCAGGCTGTGTTCTCCGTTGGCTGTTAAGTGTATTAATGTTGTGCACTGATTTCTGACTCTACAGAGAGCTAACATGACTGCATTGCCAAACGTGTATCGGTCAGGATGTATCATTTGCCTTGAATGTAACGTGACATTAAAGAAGAGCTTCTTCAGTACTTTGCTGATTTTTCCTCCATCTTTTAAAGTTAGATTTGTTTTTAGCTGCGAAATGCAGCCAAACAGCCGCTGTTCTGTCAGATTAGCATATAGTCAACACGCATCTGCAAGATGTCAGATTTGCATTTATCCATTTAGTTTTGTAGAAAAAATTTAACTTTACACTACTTCAATGGGCATGTATCCCTTCAGTCATGTACAAAAAAAAAAATTAAGGTCAGCTCGCCATATGCTTAACTACTTAACTGAAGGGATAAACGGGTATTGACTAGGGGTCTACAAACAGAAGCCCACTGGATGCATCTTTGTTATCGCTGCTAAAGGTGAGCATGAAATGAAGGTTTAGTCGCTAATCCTCCTTTCCGGTACTTTCTGTTAAGCCAAAGGGGAAGAAAGGTTGACGTGGAAACGATCCTGAGCCAAAACCTTCACAGAAAGTCAAAGATGAAGAAAAAAAAGAGTCCAACTTAACATGACGGCTTGGTGATCTGACTGGAGTCTGGTTTGCTACTGCTTGGATTGAAAGAAAACCGGCAGCCACTCGGCCCTTTCTGGAACCTGGAGCTTTCCTGCAGGTTTTAGAGGTTTCTCTGCTTTAGCACAGCTGATTATGATGATTGCAGTAAAGCTAAAGCCTGTTAATTATCCATCAATTAAAATCAGCTGTGCTGGAGCAGCAAACCACTAAAACCAGAAGCCAGGGATTAGCGGACCGTGGTCCAGATCCGGACCCAACCTGATATAAAACATTTATAAATTAACACATGTTGTCTGACGGCAGTGTCTAATTTCACTTGCTCCTCTTCTCCTGTTAATACGGTAAAGCCCTGGGGCGCGTCCGGCTCCAGGCTGCACGTGATCCAAATGAGCCAATGAGCTGTCAGTCTGGGTTGCTGCTGCTGCTACTTTTAGACACAGCAGGCAAACCTGTGGCAAGCCAGGCGATGGGTAAGAAGGAGAAGACCATGAGAAAATGAGAGCAGAGAAAGTGTGGACTGCTGGAAGAACTGGTGAAAGAAAAGTGAAATGGCGTGCTCAAAGATGACCCTGCACATTTAGAGGATGTTTGGCTCAACCTGCTGCTGTGAAGCAGGATTCTCCACCATGAACAGAATCAACAATAAATCTGGATCCAGGCTCAAAATGAGCTCCTTGATATGTGCTTGAGAATGGCTTAGTCTCCGGTTAAACCCAGGTTTAAAGCCTTGCAGGGCAGCCTAAAGCCCACTGCCAACATTAAGACAGAAAAAAGAAAGAAAAGAACAAACAATCAGTTCAGCTGTTTGAGAAAATATGGGAATCAGGAAATTATCTATAAACCAAACTGAACGATTGTTGTTCTCTACTTAAAAAACACTTTAGATTTTAAAATGGAAAAGTGTTTTTTTATGATCAGGATGACGATAGAAGTTTAGCTGATTTGCTTTAAAATCGGTCCAATAATCTTTCAGCTGAAGCAGAGCCTGAGGCCTGCAGCTTCATCAGCCTGCATGTTTCCAGTCCTGCTGAATAAAAAGATCAACAAGCGAAGAAAGCAGGTCCTCTAGTGATGGGCCCAGTGATGCGTGGAGCCCATGGAGCTAAACGCTGTATCGGTGCGCATGTCGTTTAAAGAAAGTCGTGTGACCAAATCTGATACAGGAGTTGTTTCTGACTGACTCACTAAGCTGTGATTAAAAACATATCTGTCATCATGATGCATCTGCTAAAAAAAAAAGTCTCATCTTTTGAGGCTTATCATCAAAATAAAGAATTTTGGAGCAGCCTAAAAGGAACAGGAACAGTTCAGTTGTGTCACTCTGTTTATTTACTGTTTTTAACGTACTTATTGTTTTTAAATGATGAGTTAAAGTCCAGAAGCATCCATTATACGATATACGTTACATTATTTATTGGCTGCATCTGAAAATATCAAAGATATTTTCAATTTAAACCTAAATGTTAAATAATAAAACATAACCTAAAATGACTTAAATATCATTGTTCTAGGTCATCAAATCAGTTCAGTTTATTCTGTCCGATCAGCTGCCTGTAGCGTCTTTAAATGTCCAGCAGGGGTCAGTATTCTGGGAGACAGTATCAATCATAGAGTCCAGGGTTCATGGCGACCTTCAGACTGAGCGGTGCCAACCTGCAGAGCTGACGCTGAGCTGGAGGCCGAATCGAAGCCGAGAACAGAGGAGAGGAGGCAGGGAGGTCAACCATGTCTGCATCCTGTCCCAGAATGATAATGTCATTAAATAGACTTCAGCAGAAGCCTTATATTGGCCCCACCCCTAAAAACCCACAAGTCTGACCTAAGTTGACGTCGTTGAAGCGCATTGCCCACAATTCATTGCTCTATGTGACGCTTAAAGCTACAGTGTGTAATAATTACAGGCATATAAATTCAGAAATTTAATATATTATACATAACTATGTTATTTATCATCACCTATGAGCTCAGCCTTTTAACCATAACATTTGCGTTGCCTTAGAATTCGTTATTTATAATTACATAGGAGCGGGTCTCGCAGCCATGGAGGCTGACATCTTTGCGCTACGGCAGCGCAGAGGCAACAAACTAGCGATTGCGAGATCGCCCATGACGCTCGAAAGTAACTACGGCAAGTTGAGAGAGATGAACTGAGACGGTACTGAACAGTAGATGGCAGTATTATGCCTGAGAAGCGTTTAGTCTGCCTGAAACCAAAGAAGAAGAAGAAGCAGGTATACTGCGCCTCAGTAACAAGAAAGGTGAACAAGGCGGCAGGCGTGAGTGACTTTGCAAACTGTTTGGCACTGTGTGGCCAAACATCAGACGAATGGAGGATCATGCCTACTCTGTATCACAACGAAAAGCGGCGGACACCGAACCCCCGTCATCTAAGAAGCGGAAACACGACGAGAATAAACACAAGTGTGACAAGAAACGGCAAAAAACACGGATCAACATTGGCACGGCATTTACACGATGGAAGTCACTGATGGAGGAAAAAGGTTTTCAAAGTGACGCTCAAGTTGCCAGTTTTCTCTTGGACAGGTAATTAATCCTACACACACAATTGTCTAAGATCACTGCAGTTTTTGGAGTACAGGATGCTCAGACCTGTCTAAAACAATAACATGCTGCGTGATGATGCTGTTACTCTCCAGTATACTTATTCAGCAACGTCCCTGACGTTTCACAGGTAATGATTCAGTAATTTTCTGTAAAATAATTTTCTGGATATATACCTCGGTTACTTCTCTCCGGCTCCTTTGGAGATCTTCAAGCCTTTCCTCCTCTGCTCTCACCCCGCTGGCTCCCCTCTCTCGCCTGGCCCCAGCTGCACGCTCACCCCGGCCTCTCTGCCCTCTTCCTCTCCCTCTTCCTTGCCTTGTAACCCCCGTGCCACCAAAATGACTTGGACTCTGTAAACGGGGAATATATATTCTTCCAGCGAACACAATCTCGCTGTTAAACTAATGACTACAATTACTTCGTCTGTTTATATCACCATGCAAAGCAGCTCACCAAGACGTCACAACGACGTAGAAAAAATAACGGGTATATTTATTATCTTAAGTCTACATGAAATCTATACCCTACACAGACTAATGAAATACTATCTGTAAAATTATCTATGTAAACAAACCTCATCACTTGAGAAGGTAGGTGATGCGGACGTCGTGGAAGACATTTTGTCCCGTAACGCTCGCCGTACTGTTGGGGGGGAGAAGCGGTGGGGGGGAGATGTTCATGTTGCTGCAGTCTGCAGTCTGACCGCTAGATGTCGCTGAAAATTACACACTGTAGCTTTAAAGCAAAAAACTAACTGAAATATGGTGATGATCCTCCTGAGCCATTCTCATTTTAATGAGCATAAAATTCCCCATAAATCTGCCACAAATTATAGATACTGGATTTCTGTTTTCAGCTTTAAATTATTTTCTTAGCAGTTAAATTACTAAAACATGAATCAGTTCCTTTCACTTCTGCAGATTGTTCAAGGTTAAGGGCGAGTACTGAGGGTCTTAAAGGTATAGAGGGCGATCTTTTATTTCCGGGTGGATCGTCTCAATAGTTGGTCCTCCTAACTGTCAATCATCCTGGTGATATGTTTACGTAAGGCCGTCCTACGAGCTCGCCCTCGTTTTCACTTACCGGTGGTGAGTCTGATATTTTGGAAACGAAGCTTGTATGAGCGATGCAAACAGCAACTTTAAAACGGTGTGCACGAGGAGAAATGGGCTTGTGCACGCTCTCGTTCCACCTACCTTACTGTGCTTCAGTGACGCAGTGATTAGCACGCAGAACCCATGTACAGAGGCCTTAGTCCTCCACGCAGCCGACCCGGGTTTGAATCCGACCTGTGACCCTTTGCCACGTCTCTACTCCCTTTCCTGTCAGCCTACTGTCCAAAAAAACTGAGTCACTAGTGCCCTAACGTCGTAGAGAAGCGGCTGTTCCAACCGTTGCATTTCTGAATTCTCCCGATTGGTGCCCGACTTTACACGAGTGAATAAAGTGAATGTGATTGGTAGATTATCAAGGGGGCGGGATTGTTGTGGTGGAAGGTTCACAAGACAGTTCGGTTGTGGCCGGTTTGTTGGAAGCATCATGCTAACCAGTTAGCATCTTAGTGCTAGCAGGTTCCCAATGTGAAATTCCATTGGGACCAAGTAGCACTAAATTGGTGACTTAGAAACGACGCTGTCAAGGAACGCTATGGACAGCGGAAACATGCAAGAGGAGGAGAGTTTAGTGTCGGAGGTCGTGGATGAGTCTCCTCCGTCATCCATTTTTTATTTAGAGGAGGAAAGCGGGGACGAAGATGTTGTGGAAGAGGACGCCAGGGCGGCAGAAGCTTGGTTTGGTGTAGAAGGCTTCCAGCCGTACATGTTTGAGCCCTTGCCTCGCAACGCTGCCAGTTCTGTTAGCTCTACGCCTGCCGAAGACACAGACGTCCATCCCCGTGAACACTGGGACGCAACTCAATGGGAAAGGAAAGGATTCTGGTTTCAACCGTTGCGTATATTAGCTGCGACACATGAATCAAGATGCTATGACTGAAAAAATTTGATTGACAGATGAGCGCTGATATATGATTGGCTGAATTTAGGTGTTCAGGCTGACGTAGAACTAACTGGCCTGCAGAAGATAACGGGAAAAACACTCATTTTAAGACAGGATTTTTATAAAAATAGAGATTTTCTCAATTTTGGGACAATATTATCTGATAAAGAGAACATTTATATATATGTCTGAGCCAGAATGATTTGACATTTAAAAATGACTTCCATACGACTTTAAAAACTTAAAAAAAAAATAAAGTAGAGAAGGCGGGTCTTTTCAGAAATTCCTGAAAATCCTCCACTACACATTTAATCCTTCCAAAGAGCTGAGCTTCTAACCAGCTCTACGCTGCCCCCTAGTGGAGACATCACCGGCAGTGTTTCCATTTTATTGGTGAAAACTGAAGTTTTTATTCATTCTCCAGATTTCTAATAAAGAAAAGCAACAGACTGGGATATTTTCTTAAAAAGCATAATTTATCGCCTTGATACATTGAACTAAACAGTACCCATGGCATTGCACAATAAAAGGGCAGGAAAAACAAAAACATTAAAATAGATATTGCAGCTTCAAAAAGTTCTCCTGTTCATAAATACTGGTTGATTTCAGTTCACTGTAGTTTCTTACAACAGAATCACAGTTTGTGTGTTTTTCTCTAAACATCCAGAAGTCGCTCCTACAAACGCCATGATTGGTGTGACACATGATGACATCAGCAGACATTCAGTGGTGCTGAGAAACGGCGCCGTTCCTCACGTTAAGGTACAACATTAAAGGCCGGGGGTCCTCCTGAGGAAGAGGAGGGAGAGCAGCCCACAGGAGGAAGAAGAGGAGCGTTGTGCTGACGGCGCTCAAAGACGTCTGAGCCGCCGCTCTGCTGGGTCCTGGACAGATTAGGACAATTCATGGCGATCGTTAGGCCTCATTTTCTGAGCTAATTAGGAGGTTTGATTTGAGAAAATAAACTTTCAGGCTTTGGTGTGTTTGTCAACATGGAAATTAATCACAAATAAAGCAGCAGCAATGCAACTTCAGCTCTTTCTATTAAATTTCTTTCATCACTATTTAGGGATGTTTGGAATTGAGTCCGATCTGTTAGAAACGTGAACTGTACCTTTGTGCGTCGGTGCAAATCGTTCCTCTGCTTCTAAAGCGGTTTGGGCTTTTCTACAGATTTCTGGATCTGAGAAAGAAAAAAAAAAAACAGCTTTTAGCATCAGCCCTAAATTAGAGGCAAAACGCAGAATATATATAGATATAAAAAAATAAAAAAAGTAAAAAAAAACAGCAGATTTAACACAAATAAAAAAAATAGATGGAAGCATCTCAGAACTAAACACTAAGGTCGATTCATCCAGCTGCCAGCAGGGGGCAGAAAAGTCCTACAACCAAAAGAAAACAGAAAGAGAAAAAAAAGGGAGAAAACAGCAGAAAAGCAACAACAGGCAGCGATGAGACGATGAAGGACTGGAAGCAGATGGAGTCCCATCTTCCACACAGCAAAAAAAAAAAAAAAAAGCAGAATCAGAGAGAAAACCAAAAAAAAAAAATAAACAGCAACAGACAGGAGGGCTACTGTACCTGAGATTGCTCCTTCAGGAATTCTGGGAGCTGAAATTCCCCTTTATAGACCTGGAAAACAGAGAGAGCTTCAGAGGGGGGGTGGATGATGAACAGGAAACATGGAGCGGCCTGTTAATGGACGGCCGACTGCCCCCCTCCATCAACAGACAGTCAGGCTCTGATTGGACAAACATTTGGCACAAAATATGAAAAACTATACGGAGGATCAGAGATTAAAGTAAAAAAGGTGAGAAAAGGAGGAAAGTTTTCATCCTGAGGACAGAGAGGGAGCTCAGCTTTCATTGATCCGCCTCATGGCTGCTGGCAGCATTTCTGGATTTATTCCTTTATGGAGAAACGAAGAAGAAAACGTTTCTAAACCACAAAAATAAGAGAAAAGCTTCTGAACTTGGTAACAGATTTACACGTCTCCTGATTTATCAGGATTTATTTTGGATGTTAAAAACCATCCCTGCTGGGCTGAGCTTCTTAAGGAGGAGCTGCTCCTGCTTTCACCCTCTGATCAAAAATGGAGTAGCTTCAAACAAAGGAGGCGACTCTTTCCTCCCAGTCTCTGCAGACCATCTGCTTCCCGTCTCCCAGTAACAGGTAATCAGACTGACCCACTGAAAGGTCCAGTCTGTCCTCAGCTTCACACAAATCAGAGCTTTCAGGATTTTCTCTTTGCACCAGAGAACAGGTGAGCTGTTCACCTTTTGTCACCATAGCAGGAGCTCCAAGCTGATTGGACGAAACAATAACCGTCCAAATGTTTGCTGGTTGTGATTCTAGCTCTACGGTTTCACAGCAGGGAATGAACACAGCAGTAGGAGCCATTTAAAAGTTCCCTACTTTCCTTTTTAAACATCAATCTTTGTACTAACATATTGAAAGTGGGGGGGGTCACTCCATTGGCTGGAAGTTGCAGGGAAGTGGGCTGATATTCGCTGGCGTTTGACTGGGAACGGCCATTTTGAATGGCTGCTACTGTAAGTCTGCTGGACTGAAAGGACCCAGAGGTGAAACCGGTTCTGTTAGAGCCAGACGCCTGCAGCTCAGGGCGGCGGTGCCGACGGCGCCTCAAATGCAGACGAGGAACCAGTCTGGTTCAGAGGTTCTGATGGAGCCTCAGATGGACCGCCCCTCCAGAACCAGAGAGCATCAAAGCGCCGCTTCCTGTGACATCAGACATCAGGCTCTGAGCGGCGGATCCATTAGCTTCATTCATCAGCTGAACATTTCCCACTGAACCATCCAGCCTGTTTAGTGTTGATCGCAGCGAGATGCTGATTTATCAGCCTGGATCCAACAACAGGCTAGCTTCATGCTACGCAGCCTTAGAAATAAAAAAAACACCTTTGTGATGTTTAAAAGCTAAACTTTGAAGCTTTAAAGTGAGGAAAACTCGACCCGAGAAACCCTGACCTGGTTAACAGGTTTCCAGCAGCAGATTTTCATCTGTTCATGTTTTCATGCCGTTTAAATGGCTGTAAAACTCTGCAGGGAAATAACTTTTACTACTTTTCTAAATGAGTTTTTTCTTCAGCAGAATTAACGAGTCCTTTTTCTAAACCCGGTGCTCCAAACGACTCCTTGATCTTGATATTAATATATTCCTGACTAATATTCCCTCATTGTTCCTGTATCTGGGCGTCCGTTCATCCTGGGAGAACGTCAGAGGTTCATGCTGATTCAACTTTAGTGTTCATTAAAAGAATACAAGATTACAGCAGTAATTTTCCTTAGTTTGCTTTTCAGACCATCCTCTCTGTTCCAGCTGAGTAAAATATAATGATGCTGCCACCGCCGTGTTTCACAGTGAGGTAACGGCCCACTGCAAACAGACAACCGCTCTCTGCCTTGAACTCTATAAATCAGATGGATCCAAGGCTTCAGCCGGAGCTGCTTCATGTGGATTGATGCACGGCGTGGCCCATTAGATCAGTCAGCTTCTAACCTGATGCAGCCGAACTGGTTTCCTCACTGGTTTCCTCCTGTTTCCCTCCAAGATGCAAATTTTTCTGCATTCAGGTTTAGAAGCTAATTTAACTCAAATCAAAGGATCAAACTTTTAAATCCAGTCTAAAGCTCTTAGCTGTGTGGATGTGATGAGGTTGGAGTTCCTCACCGCCGCCAAGTGAGGTGGCGCCGCCTCCAGCCTGCAGCTCAGCGCGGTGCTGCCAGCGGCTCCCAGTGACTCAGCAGGTTAAACGCAGCGAGAAGCCGCCGACTCCCACCAGCAGGAGAAACGCTGAGCTACTCGCCGCCATCTTCTGTGGGAACTGGTCTGATTCCAGTGGGGGACTGGAGCTGCTGAACTGTGTCACCTGCTGAAGAATTAAATCCCTCTAATTTTCTCTTTCTGACTGTTTTTCTGTTTTCCAGTCAACAGACGGCGTCTCTCCCGCTAAGCTGCTCAGGAAACGTCCGCCTCTGTTTTAACCAATGGAGCGTCGCCTCAACCCGGATCGTTTTACCTCAAACATTCAGGTTTGTTTTCTGCACCAATTTAAACGCATCATTTTCACCCATCCATACGTTTTCTTTTCTTCCTCTCTATCCGGGCCGGGATGCGGAGGCAGCAGGCTAAGCAGAGATGCTCAGACTGCAGCCCTGGCAGAGACCAACATGCACCGAGAACAGGTCGCAACGCGATCCAACCCTGCTGCGTCATCCAGAGAACGGACGGCCTTAGCAGGGGGCCGCCATGTTCAACCTAAATGTTTGAAAAATTACAAATGTCTGCTCTGCAAAGTTTAAATCTAAAACATTTTTTGGTCCTGTGCTAATTCTGGATGCTGCTTTCAGGGTCTGAAAATGTGAAATAAATCAAATTAAAATCATCTTCATATCAACCAGTCTAATCATTTCTGGGTCTGATGAGGTTTAACTTTTAATTTATGATTAGCTTGTTTAGGTCATTTCACATCAAATACAAACGCACTGAATTTCGCCGACGTTCGTCTCATGAACGTCCAACCATCTTGCTTTATCAAACAGGAGGATCCCGGCCCCGCCTCCTGGCCCCGCCTCCTGTTCAGCCGATCTCAGCAGACCTCGATCTGACCAAGCGAGTCGCAGCCTGATTGTTGAGTCCAGCAGATCAGCTCCACCGCCACAGGTGGATGATCACTTCCTGTCTAGGATCCAGATCTTCTGCAGGGAGACGATTCGCCTCCAGAGACTCTTAGAAACTAAACAAATCTCCATCCCTGCTTTGCTCCTTCACCCTTTACCTCAACCCCTCCCTGACAAAGGTGTTGATGGCAGCAGCACATTTCTCTCCAGGATGGAGTCACAGCCAAACAGGAACAGACCACATGAAGCTACTATGAGAAAATCACTCAATTGATACAATTTCCAATCGATTTAATCCACAAGTCTGCGACCGTTACGAAGCAATCTCCTCTGTGATTTAACACCATATTAACTATCAGACGCCTTCAATGTTGTTCAGATTCGATGTAAGAGCATTGAAATGATAGCAGCTCAAAGTGAACGGCAAGAAGCGAACCTCCAGAGGAACTGATCCAGGAACAGTTTCTGCTCCAGAGGAAAGGACCGTTTTCACATTTTCATCCAGGTTTTCCACCTGCTCAGGTTAAAGGACCAACAGCCGAGTATCATCAGCTGATCACATGAACCCTGTGGTACTCTGAGCTTAAAGAGCCATTATTATCAACATGATCAAACTGAAACCTGTTGAATCAGTGAGCTTTAAACAGAAAGGATTTCCTCGTCTCTGTAGGGCTGATGGTTAGCATAGCGCCCTCCAGCTCCATCTAACAGAAGCATCAGGTTTGCCTGGAAGCCGCAATCAATGGTCTGAAGCGGCTTTGGAGTCGTTCTGGTCCCTGGTGAGAAATGGATATATAGATCAATAAGTTCCCAGCTTCTCCTCAGAGGTAGTAATGAGATGGGATGATGAAGGACGGTTCTTCCTCATCGTAATCATGTTTGGCTTCCTGGAGCCTTAATGATGCAGCCTGATCCTGCAGCATTGATCTGTCCTTATTCTGCCATCATAGATTCTCACAGCTCAACGGCTTCCTCCTAATTATACCCGAGTGGCATTAATATTTTCATCATTCTGCTTCATTCTATCTCTATTCTCCCACTCTGCAGAATCTGTTAGTTCAATCTCTAACGTTCTGCTCTCTCTGCTTTTCCTCATAGTAGCTTCATCTGGTCTGTTCCTGTTTGGCTGTGACTCCATCCTGGAGAGAAATATCAGCTGTGCTGCTGCCATCAACACCTTTGTTTCTAGATGTTGGAGCTTGGCCTGTTTTCCAGTGTAGTCCTGTTTCTCTGACTGTGACTAACTGGATGTGCTCTCTTCATCCTCTGACATGGGAGCTGGCTCGGAGCTCGTCTGCCTGGCTGTGTGTTTCCTGGACGGGGCCGCCTGTGGAGCTGGTTGACAGTTGCCTTTTGTATCTATGCTTCTTTTTCTATGTCTGCTTCTGTCTCCTTGAACCCCAGTGGGCCTCAGCAGATGGCCGCTCACACTGAGCCTGGTTCTGCTGGAGGTTTCTTCCTGTTCAAAGGGAGTTTTTCCTCTCCACTGTCGCTACAAGCATGCTTAGTGTGAGGGATTGCTGAAGAGTCAATGAGTCGATGCAATCAGCTGGTTTTCCTTAGATAGAAAACTTTGAATCAATCTGACTGGATGATCTGGTGAACTGGAAAGTGACCTGAGATGACATGATGTGAATTGGAGCTATAGAAATAAACTGAATAGAATTTAATTAAATTACATTTAGGACAATTTGGAGAAGCACCTGCAATGCTGTATATATAAGGCAATATGTAAACATTGACTAGGATGTTGAACTGCATGCTTTCTTTGTATGTCTTACAGACTGGTATTCTGGAAGGCAGAAACAAATTTTCTACCATGGTTCAGAATCTATTGTTATTTTAAACAGCACTCTGCAACTCTGAGATGACATGATGTGAATTGGAGCTATAGAAATAAACTGAATAGAATTGATTTTCCACCAACAGATCGACCTCCTCGGTCTCCTTTTCAGGTAAAACTCTCAGACCTTCTCACCAAATGTTCCCAC